TAAAATAAAATAAAATAAAATAAAAATAAAAATAAAAAATACTGGAGCTGCCAGCAGAAACTTTCCTACTTTTTACAGGGCAAGAACCTCCGTATCAAAGGCAGTTATAAAGAGGGCAGATTACTTAGATCAGATTGGTGTTGACTGCATGGCTTGACATGAACTTGTATCATAGTTTTAGTTATATTTATATTTTTATTAATTGTTTTGAGTCTTGTTTTTATTATAAAATTCTGAACATTTATCAATTTCACTAGGACTATCAACAATGCCATACATTTGTTGAGACATTTCCTTAATTTGTTCATACATAATAAAACTGATATTCCTTTCTTGTTGTTACTTAGTTTGCTCAATTGTTTTGTACCCTTCTGTCTTGCACTTCTCTTTGAGAGACTGTAGCTCTCTAGCTCCCTAATTTGAAGCTTGATTTTTTTCATAACTCTTGCTTGTTTTTTATACCACATGCTTAAATAGATCAGGTAAAGACTATAGCATCTGGCTCACAATATACTAATACATACTTTTCTTATAACTTTGGTTCATTGTTTGCTCATTTATTGCTGGCTCACCTGCAAAGTAATTTGCACTCAGGCCAATAGAACCAATTTAAAATATCTATTTAATCGTTGACAAAAAAATGCAATATTAACTTGATTAAACTTGGTGAGTAAAAAAGCCATTTTCCTATTTTGCTGGTTCATTTCAATCTTGTGGGAGTGAGTCGCTCAGGGAATCTGCCACCACTGAGAAGATCCTGCCTCTTGTGCCTGACAAGCAAATGGATCTTAGTGGCAGCACTGCAAGTAGGACCTTGAGCTGCTCTGGGCAGGTCAACAAGAGTATAGGTCATTCTGCCACACAGGAAAATGAAAAATATAAAATGTGTATGATGCCTGTGACATATGTTCTTGTACATGAACGATTACATTGTCTCAGAAGCTTTTGATGTCCATCATATAAGATAGAGGTTGTCAAGCACTGCAGCTGTGGTCACCATACCACATATGTCTCCCAGTGTCCATTTGACTCCCAAAATGAATAAATATCTTTAAATAAAATCACATGGCCAGAATCTTACAAACTTGCAATGTGTCCCAAGGGTTTGGTATTCCCACCTGAAATCCAGAGAGACCGTTTAGCAAGACCTAGACCTAACCGTATTTTAAGATGAATGTTATCTGAAATAATTTATCACTATCTGCTGATGCCCTCAGGAATTATTTTCTCAAACGGCCACACCTGGAAACAGCAGCGACACATCGGCATCACTGCTTTGCGGAAGCTGCGCCTGGGGAAAAAAAGCATTGAGCATCAA